GTATGGAGATAAGGGGACTCTAGTACACTGTTGGTGGGAATGCAGACTGGTGCAGCCACTATGGAAAACAATATGGTGTTACCTGAGAAAATTAAAAATTGAACTTCCATTTGACCCAGTGATCCCACTTCTAGGAATATACCCTAAGAAGCCTGAAACACCAATCAGAAAGAATATATGTACCCCCATGTTTGTAGCAGCGCTATTTACAATAGCTAAGATCTGGAAACAGCCCAAATGTCCATCAGTAGATGAATGGATAAAAAAGCTGTGGTACATATACACAATAGAGTACTATGCAGCTGTAAGAAAGAAAGATCTCGCCCTGGCCAGTTTGGCTCAGCGGTTAGAGCGTCAGCCTGCGGTCTGGAGAGACCCGGGTTCGGTTCCCGCTAGGGCACGTACTTCGGTTGCAGTTTGTCCCCGGCCCTGGTTGGTCGTGCGGGTGGCAGCCACTCGATGTGTCCCTTCACGTCGATGTTTCTCTCTCCCTTCCTCTCTCTCCCTCCCACTCTACCTGTACAAAAAAATGGAAAAATATCCTCGGGTGAGGATAAAAAAAAAAAAAAAAGAAAGAAAGATCTCTTATCCTTTTCTTATCCTTTGAGACGACATGGAGGGACCTGGAAAGTATCATCCTAAGTAAAATAAGCCAAACAGAGAGAGACAGGTATCATATGATCTCACTTATTTGTGGAATATAATGAATATAACAGTCTGAGGAATGGGGTAGTCCCAGAGACGTGGAAGTGGGGTACAGAATGACAATCCCCAGAAGAGGGGATGGTGGGAAAGAGATGAACCACAGAACTTATATGCATGTATGCATGAACAATGGACATGGACAACAAAGCTGGGGACAGGGGAAGGAGGGAGGGGGAGGGAGAATTAGTGGGGAAAAAAGGAGAAACATCTGTAATAAAAATTAATTAATAAAAAAATAAATAAAATAAAGAGCTTTGCAAAAAAAAAAAAAAAAAAAAAGGCTAGCCCTGGCCGGGTTGGCTCAGTGGTTGGAGCATTGGACTGTGGTCCAGAGAGACCCAGGATTGGTTCCTGCTAAGGGCACGTACCTCGGTTGCAATTAGTCTCTGGCCCTGGTTGGGTCATGTGAGTGGCAATCACTCGATGTGTCCCTTTCATGTCGATGTTTCTCTCTCTCTCTCTCCTCCCCACTCTATCTGAACAAAAAATGGAAAAATGTCCTTGGGTGAGGATAAAAAAAAAAGGCTAAAGGAATTTATTATCACCAAACCAACATAACAAGAAATGCTAAAGGGACTGTTGTAAGAAGAAGAAATAGAGAGAGAGAGGGGAACAAAGGCATAAAGAATAAAAATGGCAACAAGTACTTATCAATAATAACCTTAAATGTAAATGGCTTAAATGCTCCAATTAAAAGACACAGGGTAGCCCATTGGATAAGAAAACATGACCCATATATAAACTGTCTACAAGAGATTCACCTCAAACAAAAGACTTACACAGGATGAAAGTAAAGGGATGAAAAAGAATTTTCCATGCAAATGGAAATTTTTAAAAAGCTGCTGTAGGAATAGTCATCTGATAAAAATATACTTCAAATGAAGGCCTTAACAAGAGACAAAGAAGGGCCCTATATAATATTAAAAGAATATCCATCAAGAGGATATAACTCTGATAAATATATATATATATATATATATATATATATATATATATATATGCACCCAATATAATAGCAGCAAAATATATTATAACACTGCTGGAGGACTTTAAGGGAGGGATTGACAGCAATACAATCATAGTAGGAGACTTTAATGCCCACTGACATCCATGGATAGATCTTCTAGAAAAAAAAATAACAAGGAAACAGAGACCATAAACAACACATTAGATCAGATGAATTTAATTAATATTTTACCCCAAAGCTGAAGAATATATATTCTTCTCAAGTGCACACAGGACATTCTCAAAGACAAACCACTTGTTAGGTCCCAAACTAAGTTTTTACAAGTTTAAGAAGACTGAATTCATGTCAAGCATGAAACTAGAAATCAATTACAATAAAAACACTAAAAATCATTCACACATGGAAGCTACATAGCATGTTATTAAACAATGACTGGGTCACCAAGGAGATCAAGAAAGAAATTAAAAACTTTTGCCCTACCGGTTTTGCTCTGTGGTTACAACACCGGCCTGTGAATTGAAGGGTTGTGGGTTTGATCCCCCAGTCAACGGCACATGCCTGGGTTGCAGGTTTGATCCCCAGCACTGGTCAGTGTCATGCAGGAAGCAACCAATTAATGTGTCTCTCTCACATTGATGTAAATTTCTCTCCAACCACCTCCTCCCCACCCCCAACTCTGTCTAAAATAAATGAAAAAATATCCTCGGGTGAGGATTAACAAAAAGAACAACAACAAAAAACTTCCTGGAAACAAATAAAAATGAACACAAAATCTATGGGGCACAGCAAAAGCAGTCCTGCGAGGGAATTTCATAGCATCACAGGCCTACCTCAAGAAACAAGAAAAATTTCTAATAAACTATCTAACCCTACAATTCAAAGAATTAAAAAGAAAATCCTAGAGTTAGTAGAAGGAAAGAACTGATAAAGAGAAGAGTGGAAATAAATGACATAGAGACTAAAAAAAGAGAAAAAAATACAAAAGATCAATGAAACCAAGAGCTGGTTCTTTGAAAAAATAAACAAGATTGATGAACCTCTAGCCAGATTTCACAAGAAACAAAGAGAGAGGACACAAATAGATAAAATCAGAAATGAAAGAGGTGAAATAACAACTAACATGACAGAAATACAAAGGATGGTAAGAAAAATACCATGAACAATTATATGCCAACATATTGGGTAGCCTAGGCAAAATGGACAAATTCCTAGAATCATCCAAGCTTCCAACACTCAATAGGGAAGAGTCAGAAAATCTGAACAGACCAATAACAACTAAAGAAATTGAAGCAGTAATCAAACTACCAGCAAACAAAAGCCCTGGCCTGGATGGTTTTACCGGGGAGTTTTACCAAACATTCAAAGAAGAACTAATACCTATTCTCCTCAAACTATTCCAAAACACTCAAGAGGAAGGAAGACTTCCAAGTTATTTTTCTGAGGCCAGCATTATTCTAATTCCAAAACCTGACAAGGACACTACAAACAAAAACAATTACAAACCAACATCTATGTTGAACATAGATGCCAAAATCCTCAACAAAATAATAGCAAATTGGCTCCAGCAATATATTAAAAAAATCATTTACCACAAAAAAGTGGGATTTATCCCAGGGATGCAGGGCTGTTACACTATTCACAAATCAATGACCAAGATACACCGTATAAACAAAAGAAAAGAAAAATCCTATGCTCATATGAATAATGATGAAGAGCATTTGACAAAATCCAGCATCTATTGTTTGTTGCTGTTAATCCTCACTCGAGGATATTTTTCCATTAATTTTTAGATAGAGTGGAAGGGAGGGAGGGGGAGAGAGAAACATTGATATGAGAGACACACATGGATTGGTTGCCTCCCACACAACCCTGACTGCGGTCAGGAATCAAACCTGCATAACAGGTACATGCCCTTGACTGGGAATTGAACCTGCAGCCCTTACGTCACAGGCCAACGCTCTAACCCCTGAGCCAAACCAGTCAGGGCCAAGCACTCATTTTTGATAAAACGTCTCAATGAAGTGGGAATCAAAGGAGAATATCTCAAGATAATAAAGGCCACATATGTAAACCCTACAGCCAAAATCAGTCTCAATAAGCAAAAACTAAAAGCATTTCCCTTAAGAACGGGAACAAGACAGGGATGCCCACTATCACCACCCTTATTCAACATAGTACCGGAAGTCTTAGCCACAGCTATCAGACAAGAAAAAATAAAAGGCATCCAAATTCTTTTTCTTTCTTTCTTTTTTTTTTTTAATCATCATCTGAGGATATTTTTCGATTTATTTTCAGACAGATTGGGAGGGAGAGAGAGAGAGAATCATCGGTGTGAGAGATACACATCAACTGGTTGCCTCCCATATGACCCCAACCAGAGCCAGGGACCAAACCACAACTGAAGTAGGTGCCCTTGATTAGAATCGAACCTGTGACTCTTTGGTCCATGGGCTGATGCTCTAAATGCTGAGCCAAAACTGGCCAGGGCAAGTTTTCTTTCTAAAACACAAATGGTAGCATTCTATAAACACACTACTGCAACTTGCTATTTTTTTTTACTTAATACAACATGGAGACTTCCTCAGACAGCCCTTAAAAACAGCCTTTTAGTTTCTCAAGGATCTTTTAGTGAAGTTTTATATAAAGGAAGAAAATTTATTTTTTAATATGCTAAGTGTGTATTTTTTAATTACAATTATAATACATGCTTCTTATAAAACAATTCAACAGTGTAAAAAAATTAAAAATAAAAAAATACCCCATTTTCCCTCCACTCCTACTTCCCAAGAATAAACACTTTTTATTTCCTCCTAGACCATTTTCTATAAAAATAGACATAAACAGAGTGGGGCAAAAATAGGTTTACAGTTGTTCATATGGAAATAATATAACTAATAATGCAAGAATAAACTGTTTTGTGTACTCACAACTGTAAACCTACCCTATAAATAACATCTAATACAAGCAAATGTAATATAAAATAATGTTCTATATACCTATTATATCTTTTTTAAAATGTTTTTATTGATTTTACAGAGACAGGAAGGAAGAGAGAGTGAGAAACATTGATCGGCTGCCTCCTGCACACTCTCCACAGAGGATGGAGCCTACAACCTGAGCATGTGTCCTGACAGGGAATCGAACCCAAGACCTTTTGGTGCATGGGACAGTGCTCAACCAACTGAGCCACACCGACCAGGGCTACCTATTATATCTTATTCACATTCTAGTCTATACACATAAAATACATTTATATTCTTTAAAGTCTCTTACAGTCAAGGACTCTGTGATAAAAAATATTAAGAAACTTTACTGCATGTCAACTTACCAACACAATCACAGCACTCATCCCAAAGGGTCCCAAGACATAGCATACACTCCTTGCAGCAGGAACAATTTCCTTCTCCAGGTCGGCACTGGCAGAGCTCCTAGAAATAAGATGATCAAACTTAAAATTTCAAAAACTATATTTAAAATAGTTATTTTTTTTTGCAGTAAAAAGCCCATAATATTTGCATTTATAGTAATTTACTCTTCATATAATTTTTTATTAAAGATCATTAACTGGCCCTGGCCGGTTTGGCTCAGCGGTTGGAGCGTTGGCCTGTGGTCCAGAGAGACCCGGGTTCGGTTCCCGCAAAGGGCATATACCTCGGTTGCAGCTTGTCCCCAGCCCTGGTTGGTCATGCGGGTGGCAGCCACTCAATGTGTCCCTTTCACGTTGATGTTTCTCTCTCTCTCTCTCTCTTCCACTACTCCCTCCCATTCTATCTGAACAAAAAATGGAAAAAAATGTCCTCGGGTAAGGATTAAAAAAAAAAGAAAAAGATCATTAACTGTTTGTAGGAACATAACCTACAATGTCAAGTAGATTTGTATTTTCTTTTGGACACATTCAGTGAACTGTTTTGAATGCATTTACCTTATTTTGAAACATTTTATGAAATAAAACATCCTACTTTATAGTCAATTTTATATCCACCATACCACCTCAAAAATAATCCAATAAAGCACAAAACCTGCTTTTCAGCTATTAGATTCATGTTCAAATTAATCTAAATGAATAGCCAACTTGTAGTGGGAGCTGTGGTTTCTCAATACAGAGTGCAAACAAAAGCATCTTATAAAAACTATTTTTATTGATCTACAACATATTAAAACAGTATGCATGGTATGACAGACTATTTACAAAGAAGGCAGCAATTATTTCCCCTATGTCCATCCTCTTGGCAATGTAACTTTGTAGTTCCTCTGATCAAGAGACAGTCTATTTCCAGACCCCTTGGATAGAGGGTAATCTTGAGATTTCCTTTGAATTTGGTGGAAGTGACATCATATCTGTTCTGAGTCTACACCTCAAGAATATTGAGTGCTTCTACTTCACCTAGAACTCTGCCTAGCTACCACATGTAGCCTGGGACAAGGCCAGGTTGGCAAGTTGGTTGAACTAATGCCATCCCAGCTCATCCAGCCTCCAAACCAGCAGGTGACAACAGACAGAAGAATGAGCACAGGAAAAGCCACCCAGCTAATAAAGGTACAAATTACCAACCCACAGAAATAAGGGCTAAATAAATGGTTGTTTTTTGCTTTGTTTTGTTTTAAAATATATCTTTTCTTTTTTAAATTTATATTTTATTGTTGACACTATTACAGTTGTCCCCCATTTACCCTCCCATTTGCTCCCTTCCACTCAGCCCCTGTGCCATCCCAGCCCTTCACCACACTATTGTCTGTGTCCTTGGGCTATGCATATAAGTTTTTGGGTTAATCTCTTCCCCCCTCTTATCCTCATTCCCTCTGAGATCTGTCAGTCTGTTCCATGCATCCATGTCTCTGGACCCACTTTGTTCATCAGTTTATTTTATCTCTGACTGGCTTATTTCACTTAGGATAATAATCTCTAGGTCCATCCATGCTGCTGCAAAGGGTAAAGATCCTTCTTTTTTTAATTTTTTTTTTTTTATCCTCACCCGAGGACATTTTCACATTTATCTTCAGATAGAGCGGGAGGCAGATAAGGTGGAAGAGAGAGAGAAACATCGATGTGAGAGAAACACATCGAGTGGCTGCCACCCACAATCGGGGCTGAGGACAAACTGCAACCAAGGTACGTGCCCTTAGCAGGAACCGAACCCAGGCCTCTCTGGTCCGCAGGCTGATGCTCTAACTGCTGAGCAAAACCAGCCAGGGCGAGAGCCTTCTTTTTTAAGGTCACATAGTATTCCATTGTGTAAATCACCTATTGATGGGTACTTGTGCTGTTTATAGATCTTAGCTATAGTAAATAACACTGCTATGATCACAGAGATGCATATATTCTTTCTGATTGTTGTTTCGGGATTCTTAGGATATATTCCTAGCAGTGGGATCCCTTGGTCAAATGGCAGTTCCATTTTTGATGTTTTGAGGAAATGCAATACTATTTTCCACAGTGGCTGTACCAATTTGCCTTCCCACCACAGTGTACTAGGGTTCCTTTTTGTCCACATTCTTCCTAGCACTTATTTGTTGATTAATGGATGGTAGCCATTCTGTCAGGTGTAAAGTGATACCTCGTTATAGTTTTAATTTGCATCTCTCTGATGATTAGTGATGTTGAGCATTTTTTCATATGTCTCTTGGCCATCTGTATGTCCTCTTTAGAAAAGTGTCTATTCAGGTCCTTTGCCCATTTTAATTGGATTATTTGTCTTCCTTTTCTTGAGTTGTATTATAAGTTCTTTATATTTTTTGGAAATTAACCCCTTATCAAATGTAATACTGGCAAATATGTTCTCCCATACATCGGGTTCCCTTTTCATTTTGAGGACTTTTTTTCTTTTTGCTGTACAGAAGCTTTTTAGTTTGATGTATATAGTCCCATTTATTTATTTTTTCCTTTGTTTCTCTTGCCCTAGTACATGTATTGGCAAAAATTCTGCTACATGAGATGTCTATGAATTTACTGCCTGTTTTCTTCCAGTTTTATAGTTTCACAACTTATACTTAAGCCTTTTGTCCATTTTGAGTTGATTCTTGTGTATGGTTTAAGTTGGTGGTCTAGTTTAATTTTTTTTGCATGTACCTGTCCAAATTTCCTAACACCATTTATTGAATAGTCTATCATTACTCCATTGTATGCTCTTGCCTCCTTTGTCAAAGTGGGATTTACTCTGGGAATGCAAGGTTGGTACAATATTCACAATTCAATAAATGTGATACATCACAAAACAAAATGAAGGATAAAGATCACATGATCATATCAATAGATGCAGAAAAAGCACTGGACAAAATCCAGCACTCATTTTTTAATAGAAAGCTCCCAGCTAAGTGGGAATAGAGAAAACATACTTCAATATAATAAAGGTCATAATATGATAAATTTATAACCAACATCATACTCCATGGACAAAAACTAAAAGTGTTTCCCTTAAGAATAGGAACCAAGATGTCCACTTTCACCGCTCTTATTCAACATTGTGCTGGAAGTCCTAGCCACGTTGATCAGACAAGAGGAAAAAATAAAAGGCATCCAAATTGGGAAGGAGAAAGTAAAACTGTCATTATTCACAGATGACATGATATTGTACAAACAAAACCCTTAAGACTCCCACCCCAAAAATACTAGATTTAATCAATTAATTCGGCAAAGCAGCAGGACACAAAATTAACATCCAGAAATTGATAGCATTTTTATACACCAATACTGAACACTCAGAAAGAGCAACTAAATAAACAATCCCATTAACCATTGCAACAACAAAAAATAAAATATCTGGGAATAAACCTAACCAAGGAGGTAAAAGACCTGTATTCAGAAAACTATAGGACACTGAAAAAAGAAACAGAGGAAGATACAAACAAGTGGAAGCATACACTGTGTTCATGGGTTGGACGAATTAACATCATTAAAACGTCCATACTACCCAAAGTAATCTAGAGATTCAACACAATCCCTATTAAAATACTATTGGTGCTTGGCCAGTGTGGCTCAGTGGGTTGAGTAACGTCCCATGGATTGAGAGGTCCGGGTTCAATTTCCGGTCAGGACACACGCCCTGGTTTCGGGCTTGACCCTCAGTAGGGCGCATGAAGGAGGCAGCCAATTAATGTTTCTCTCTCATAACCATGATTCTCTCTCTCTCTCCCTCCCTTTCTCTCTCTCTCTAAAAATATTAAAAATATCATCTGCACATTTCACAGATCTAGAGCAAATATTCCAAAAGTTTATATGGAACCAAAAAAGACCCTGAATAGTCACAGCAATCTTGACAAAGAAGAACAAAATTGGAGGAATTACAATACCAGTTATCAAACTATATTACAAAGCCCATGTAATCAAAACAGCCTGGTACTGGCACAAGAACAGGCATATAGATCAATGAAACAGAACAGAGATCCCAGAAATGCTTATTGTTTTAAGCCACTAAACTCTGAGGTGGTTTGTTACTCCATGAAAGCTAATTAATACAGCCTGCTTCATAAATGAAGATTCAAGTTAATTCCTTTAGCCCTCTACAGCAGCCAGCCATTCCTAAACAAACCCAACTTAAAGGGAAATTCTGTAGCCATCATCACCTACTTGGCTTCCCCTGGGTTATGTGAACTTAATGTAAACATAGCAGATAATATTTATCCCTATTAAATTCATCTTATTACATTTCTATACTATTGGAATCACTTCATCATTCTAATATGACATATTTTGGTCACTGATATTTCATCACAGTGATAATATACACTAGTAGGTAATTTCTAGTTTTTTCCTCTCCAAAAGTCCCCTAGCTATTACATAGCACTTTCAAGAATCAACACTTGTGAAAGATCTCTTATCCTTTGAGACGACATGGAGGGACCTGGAAAGTATTATCCTAAGTGAAAGAAGCCAAGCAGATCTCACTTATATACGGAATATAATGAACATAACAGTCTGAGGAATACAGTAGACCCAGACACATGGAAGTAGGGCACAGACTGACATATCTCAGAAGAGGGAATGGGGGGGTGGGGTGGTGGGAAGAGATAAACCACAGAACTTATATGCATGTATGCATGACCAATGGACATGGACAACTAAGCCGGGGATGGGGCGGGGGTGGGGTGGGGGGTGCCAATGGGGTAAAAAGGTAAAATATCTGTAACAAAAAAATAAATAAAAATTCATAAAAAAAAAAAAGAATCAACACTTGTTATTCTCTAATTAATCAGTCTGATGTCAATGTATATCTGAGACACAGTAAGTGCAAATTATAGTATTTTACTGCTGTGGAATTCTGTAGAGTTGGTCTGTTTTTCATATAATACAAACTGTAGGGAACTTTGCTAGGTCTGTCAGAAAGAGAAGGGCTAAAAGAGCAGAGACTTCCTGAGAAGTACAGATGCTTCATCACAAAACTGGAGAGGCTTGATTCAGACAAGCTCAAACTTACTTGGAAATCTAGAAAAA